TATATATATATATATATAATGGAACAGCAGCATTTTTATATTTAAATCTTGAAATAACAAAACAGGAAGAGGAAACGTTTACATTATTATAATTAATTATAAGAAGTTAAAAAAAATGACATTGAAAGCGACAATCATTTTAACATTACCCGTTCAAATTTACTAGATGCTTTACACGTTGAAATACTTCTTATCAATCTATGAAAGTAGAAAGCGACAAGCTCCACTTGACTTTGCTCGCTTCTAAAGAAGGTCGCGTGCCATGAAAGAGACCGAATCTGAGACACTTATGCCGACTGTTAATTAAGAGGGTTAAATAGTTGGAAGTCGAGTAGTTGGTCCTCGACAGAAAGAGTGTATGATAGAGGCAATGCTCGATCGGAGATAGAGTAACAGAGAAGAAATATAGAATGGGAGGCTTGTTCGATATAGAGAAAAGGAGAAAGAAGAGAAAATGTTAACAAGGAAGTGGAGCGTCCTTGAACGATGCATAAAAAAAAAAAGAGGAAAAAGTGGAAAGAGAGAGATGGGAAGCAAAGAGAGGAGTAAGAGAAACAGAAAAGGGAAATGGAAGGGACAGGAGGAAGGAAGGAGAAGAAAAATGAATTGCAGAACGACGTGTTCGCAATGAAAAGGGTTGACTGAGTATAAGTGAGTAGCTGAAAGAAGCAAGAGTCGCGAAAGAGGGGGCGAGAAAGAGACGAAGAGGAGGACGCTCAGGGGGTTGCAAACTTCCGAATGAGGGAGGGAAGGAGATGAAGAGGGAAAAGTAGCGGTATAGGCGGGAGAAGGTAGGATAGGGGCGAGTAGAGAACGGCTTGTGCATTTGAAGGAGTTTAGCTTTTCTCGTATCAGATTTCGTTTCCACGAGTGGCGTCGACTTGAGAGGTCTGCGTTAGCTCAGAGAAATGACTCGAGAGTCCCCTCTCTTCTTCTTTTTCTCTCATTCTCTTCCTCCTCTTACCCGCCCGGTTCCTTTAGCTCTACCCTCTTGCAACTTTCCACTATTCTGTGCACCGAGTGCACCAACGCGTTTCAACGCTCTCTTTCTTGGTGCCCATCGGCAGATTTACTTTGCACGGAAACCAACAAGACCACGTCCCACAACTCACACGTGACCACCATCGATTTCTAATTTCACAATAATTTAAGACAACTGTTTGTCATATTTACTAAAAATAAATACGTTCTATCATACTATATGTTATAAAAATTTTTATTATTTACTGACAAAAACTTTTATTTAATCATTATGGAAATTTCACGTTTCACGTGCAAAAACCTTACCATTCTTCCGTTATCGGCGAAAGTTATCATGCGTGTAAATCAATCGTCGGGGACGAGGAAGAAAAACGCATTTACGTCTATAATCGAAATAGCGGAGTATCCCGTGGCCATTTTGCGGCAAAGAAGGGGGGAGGAGGAGCGCGTCTGGCTCGCAGCCGCGAAATTGGCGGAAAATCGTGGCGAATTTACAAGCGTGCATACCGCGCTCGCAACAATGCGTAATATTATTAAAGCGCGGCGGGACGAGAGATATTGGAGCGTTAGTAGGCGAGATACAAATGGAAAATGAAACCATTATACGGCGAACGCTTCGGCGGCGCGATCGATGGGCGCGCAGAAATGGCGAACAGAAAATTTCTCATCATGATCGATCGCGTTAGTCCTTCTCCTCTTTTACAAGATCTGCGCAATGTTATATACGATGCCATTTTCAATTGAGAATGTAAAGTATCGTACGGTTATAAATAGTTGGTAGGTGAATAGAGAAAGAGATTTCTTTGAATATATTAATAAATACATTTTAATAAATGTCATTCTTATTTAAACATTTTAATGCATCTTTATGCATGCGATATCATTCTGCATTCTGAGCTTTATCGTTAATTTAACGTAAAGCTAATGAAAGAAACACGTTGAAGTGAAATTAAATTATTAATAAAATTCGGGAAAGTTCTCTGATAGTTTAATAATTTGAAAGAATTAGATCAAGAAAATGTCAAATATTAAATATAATGTTCATAGATTAATGTGTTAAAGATATTATATACGTGTTATTTTTTTAACATAACTAAAATAATTAAGAAAATTGTGTATTATTAATGTAGAGAAGTCAAATGTGTATTAAAATATTTGGAATAAATAAAAATAACTTTTGTTAATTCCTATAAGCATTAGAAGTAACTCTTTAGAATCTTGTAAATAAAAAAGCTGGCAGAAGCTATCGAGATCAGAGATAGAAAAATGGGGCTCGGAAACGAAAGTAGCCTGCCTTCCTTCCTTTCGATTCGA